ATGGCTGGCCTGTTGTTTTGTTAATCCATCACTTCGGTTTTCTTTGCAATTTTTGGCTGCAAACACGCAGCTTTTGGAGTAGTCATTGTTGCTGTGATGGATTTTTGAAAGGAAAGTCATAAATAGCATCTGTCTCTTTACTCCAGAATTAGTTTTCTGTATTGCAAGTTGAACCTTCTCTTAAAGATTTAATTGAAGATGATAGTTTTCATATTTTGTTCTGATTTTTAAAAAAAAGTTCCAAAAAACCTGTTGATATCTCTCTCTACAGTGTATTTTTTTGATAAAGGTTGTCTAATGTCTTAGTTCATGCAGAATAGTAAAAGCATGTGTAAAAATAATTTAGTTAGTCTAAATAAATCTGAAGTTAATATGAAAGGAAAAGTTATTTCATAGTATTTTTTTGTAACTACAAATTTTATTGATCTATTATAGATCAATACTCTTAAAAAAAAAAGCATAGCATCTAATAATTTATTTACCCTTACAAATTTTACATAATTTGCCTCATTTTACATAATTTGTAACTTATTTAGTGAAGCACGATGTAAAAATGTGTGCTACACGTATAGGATACCTTCTGATAAACAAATACTGCCTCCCTGCAAGGGGCAGCAGTGAGGTCTGCAAGGCAAGGCTGAGAGGAGGACAGTGAGCTCTGCCAGGAAGGAGGATGGGCTTTTGCCCACCGAGGTTGGACACGTTTGCCCGTGCAGCTGACCCGGAGCTGGCAAGGCTGGATTTATCCACTCATGCCGAAGCTGCCAGGGGCCAATCTGCTTGGGAAAGAAAACATCTGCTTTATTTTGAGAGTGAGAGACTGTTGTCATGTGTCACTGTTGTAGCTTGGCACCTTCCAGCTCCGTTTGGTCACTGCTGTGTTTTGTGACCGAGCTCTTGTAATGGTATCAGTGTCTGCTGAGTCCCAGAGAACCCCATTTGCTTAGTTTGGCTACCAGTTTTGATTAATTTTGCCCAAGATGTTAAAGTTTTTGCCCACATCAAGTCAATAGGAGTTTTGCTACAAACTTAAGTGGAGTCAATTTTCATGTGTTGGCTTTAACCCCGCAGGGCTTCTGCAAGCCAAAATGCTGAGAGGTTCCTGTGAATTGGCATGACTGGTCTGCCAAATCAGGGCTGCTTTGTCCTTGTATAAACAGCTGGGATTTGGTCTGAATGTCTGTTTTGTTACAGATGGGGAACTAAATCTTTAGCCTTTGAGTTCAGTGGGAGTTTTGCTGTTGATACAAATCAAGACAAATTTTCTTCCAGAAAACATTATTAACATATTGGTGCGATATGTGTGATCTATCTGAGATACAGTCATAGCACAGGATTTGCTAGTGCTATGACAGAGAATTCAGTGGACAGAGATTTAGCTAATTCAGCTGTAAAACATTCCCAACAAACAGAGTGTTTTATCTCCACTGTGAGATACTGAGATCAAAGCAAGAACAAATAATGAAATGGAAGATGAGGAGGACTTGGCTGGAGGAAGAGCTTGGGACCTCCTGATACGAGAGTGTTCCTTTTCTGGTGTTCAAGATTTCTGAAGGCAGTAATAAGTGTTGAGCTCTTATATTTGTTAACATACTGCTCTCCACTGTATGCATCTGAAAGCTATGCAGTTGTAGTGCACAGTGCATAAAAGTATAATGGAATATGAATTTTGAAGCACCCTTCTTCAAGTTAGATGTTGCTTTGCTGCTTTTTAACAAGTGATAGCTTTTCTATTGGGAAATTAAACTATTTTATCATAAAAGAGCAGGCACCTTCCCACACCAAAAGAAGTTGTGGTCAAAGTAGACTACTTTTTGTGACAGAAATATTTTGGTACAGACTCAATGTATCTTCCTCAAAGTCATGGTAGTACTAAACATTGAGTTTGTGTGCACATAATGCATAGAAATACATGTATCTTAGTCAGTAGGGAGAGGGGAAGTACGTTCCCATTTCCAAATGTATGTGCTGAAGACGTATTTTCAGGAAAGATGTAAAAGATAGGAAAGGTTTTTCAGTGGGCAAAGGGCAACATTTTGCAATCCTTCAGTTAAAAAGCCTTTACTATTAGTGCTGATCCTAGCTACTTTTTATCGAAGCCTACCTCTTCTAGAAATTACCATGTTGTGCTAAAGTGATATAAGTTTTACAAGCAAGGGATATAATTAACTAATACCAGGTTTGGAATCTGTGTAAGATTTTTTTTCTAATACAAGAACTAATCTAGTTGACATTGAAGTTAAATAGTCTTATATAGAAAGAATGCACAATAGTATGAATCATAGGCAGAATAGTTGATGAATGAATCTCGTTAAATGCAACAGGAGTTAGATTGGCTTGCTAACTTAAAAATAAAAGAATTTGTGCCATTATGGTATGGACAGGACAGTAGGGCTCTCAGAAAAGTTTGTTGGTTTTCAGTAGTTTCTCCAGCCCTAGACCATGTTAAAATATAAGTGAAAATCAGTTTTCATGTTTAATAGTCTTATATGACTGATAAACTGAATCAATGCACACATGCCTGTCTCTTAGAGTGTCATATTGACCAAATAATAAATATTTCACTGCTCTGTAGAAGCAAACTTCCAAAGGAAGCTCTTATAGGCACAAGTATTAAAACAAAGGATAATGTAATTTCACTATTAAATGTCCCAAGTCCATTTTATGACACTTTATGACAATATTTATACATACTGTATTAAAATGGTAATCTGTTCAAATATTTGTTCCATTTTAGGAGAAAGAATCAACAACAAACCATGTACTCCAGCTGCAGGAGAAATGACTGGGCAGTATTAAGATGCTTTGGAGCCCAGAGAGAAAAATAGGAATGCAATGGTTAAAATAACAGCAATGGTTTAAAATATGCAGAACACCCAGAACAACATACTTACTGTGTCTTATATACGTAGGTACACTACTATCTGACAACCTGTTAAGCTTTCTACATTTGAGAAGGATTGAAATGCTTACCACTTGCTGTAAAGACAGTTAAGTCTCTCTGCAAGAGTAAAAAGTAAAAGTAGATGTTTTGCAAAACATCTTTGATTTGCAAAAATGTTTTGCAATATATTATTAAGAGCTAAACTAATTTATTAATAACCATTTTGAATAAGTATTAATTTTAACTGCAAGTATTATCAAGGAATATTTTCTACCTTGATACATATTATTTTTTGTTGGTAGGGGGCATTCCAAGTTGTGAATAATTTCAGGGCTTCCTGAAATCACTTGTTCAGATCTGCCCTGTGCCATTTCTTTTATACAGAGAGTCGGTATGTGGACAGAAAATGAGGAAAATTCTGCCGACTTCCCTAGGACTGGTATTTGTTCCCCGCCTGTGTGTTGGGTACCTCTGGCTGACAGGTTACAGAGACCATGTAAAGCTTAGAGGTTTACAATTCAATTTACAAGTGTGTCAGCCACTTGGAGCAAACCAACCCTTCCTATGAAAATACACTTAGATCCCATATCTACTTTTCAGGTATTATCACAAAATGAGTAGTGGGTCTCCCTGTTCCCCTTTCCATTATTGAAGTAAATATGGAGTCAATAGTATTCCTAAAGAGCAGAGATTCTTTGCTTGTGTGTAAGGAAACATGAAGAAAACGGAAAATCATTTAGGATGTTGAAAATGGATATTAATGCTTTAACATTTCCTCTGTTTCTTTCCCCCCCTTTTTTACTGTCGTGTGGTTTTGTATGTGGATCTGCAGCTGTGTTTGTAACCGAGCAGCTTGTTTATGAAGCAGTTGCAAGGTGGATGAGGGTATACATCCACACCATATAGTCTGGCTTTCCTTAGGCTCCCCGGAGAGGAATCTTCTGGGGATCTCTGAAGCCTTTTGCATTGCATGATTGCATGATTATGCATTTTGATCCTTTTCTTTCAGATGAATATGTTTTTTTCTCTCTCTCTCTCTTTTTTTTTTTTTTTTTCCTGACACATAGTGATGTCTTTAGGAAATTTATATTAACTAGCACTAGGTGGCAGAATTAGACTGTATTAGTCCTAACCTTTTTATGCTTTGTCAAGTTGCCTTCCTTTATAGTCCATAAATGCATCTCTACCTACATCCAGCTTTCAAAATTATCTAAGTATAAAAGCAATTTGTAACAAACAGCTCTGCAAAGGAAGTGTTCTTGTTAAATAGCAGGTAATGCATGCTGGACTTCAGAGACTGTAAATATTTCATTAATAGTTCACTTAAGAGTTATTTTATAATATGAAACCAAAAAAATCTGCTCTTCTGAAATATTTACTATGGCAAAAATTATTTTATAATTTAAATTTGTAGATCATCTGTAAATGAAAGCATATTTGTACTTTTTTTTTTCCCCAAACAGTAGTCATCTATTGATTTAAGCACACGTGAAGATGAGGTATTTAGAGGCAGAAAGGGCTTTTCCTGTCTAAAGCTGGCGTTATTCATATGAGAATAGCTGATACACATGCAATGATAAGATTATTTGGGAATTATTTTTTTTCCTGTACGGGACAATTAAAAAAGTTGTGTTTAGCATAGCTTGTAAAATAGTCACTGCTACTCCAAGACAGGATTTTCCCTTGGGTTTGACTGAAACCAAATGCACAGAGACAGGAGCAAAACGGAAAAAAAAAAAGGCCCTACTGTAACTGCAGTAGCAGTGACTTTATCATTTGCATCCTGGTCTTGATTTATAACTTAGCTTACATTGAAAAAATAAATCATTACGTTCCAATATAGATTGTATCCTGGTGCCCTGATTTGGTGGATGAATCAGTAAGGGAGCAGTGATGCAAAACTTAAGGACGTTTTTTCTTGTGGAATAGTGTTTATGTTTTGAAAATACTCTGGTAGTATTTATGATCACTTTGTATATGTTGAAATGTTTGGAAAGTGTTTGCAATATTTGAATGATGTGCAATATTTGAATGATGTGCAATATTTGAATGATGTGCAATATTTGAATGATGTGCAATATTTGAATGTGAGACTATTTATTTTCTTTCTCTTTAGAGGATTTGCTCCACAGAGTTTGTGGCTGCCCTTGAGCTAAGAATGTCTGACAGATTTCAATTAAAGGTCTCTAGTGCTAAAGGAGTTTGTGCTCATGGACCAGTTATCTCTGTGTCCACCACTAGTAAGTAGCACAGAATTTTAAAATGACTAATTTGAGAGATCTTTACACAGCATTTTTTTAAAGGGAGATAAATTTGGAGATGTTCAAAAAGCATAATACGTCTTCTGAGCAAATACTAGGGGCCTCACATAATTTTATAATAATAGTCAGTAGGAGAATAAAATTAATCTGCAGATTATAGTTATAATCTCTAAAATGTTCTTTCTAATATTTTTAAAACAAAATGATATGTATTCCTTTGACATAGCTGTATGCTTGTTTTCTATATTTAGGATGAATATGATTATGATACCAAAAATATATCTGTAAGTGAAAGATGTTGACATGCACACGCTTTCTGTGACTTCCTTAGAAACCATTTTTTTGAGAATATCAGTTGCACATCTCTTCAGGAGTCCAAGATTCTAGTCAGTGAATTGGTTGCCTAGGAAAACTTACATTTCTGAAGTTATTAAAAGTTGCAGTCGAAGTGTGAAAGGGCCAACTATAGAAAATGGAGCCCTTAAACTAACAGAGGCAGAAGTAACTTCTGTAAATGGCAGATGATCAAGTATCATATGAGTAACATAAAATCATTATAGAAGAAAATAATTTTTTTTTCTGGTTAAACATTCTGAGACTTGAATAATATATGCTTGGAATCAAGCAACAGCACATTTTAAAATGATATATGAAATAGGGAATTCGAATTTTATCATGAACCTTTTTTCTTCAAGTTGCTCTCACTTCAGACCCTCAAGTTGCATACCCCATGCATGCTTTCCACATTAAAGGCAAGAGAGTTTTCCTAAAACATGCAAATAAGTCTTGATAGATGCTGCTGATGTTTAAAATACATCAGTACTTGAAGAGCTGATAGTATATAAAATAATTTTGAGCAAGTTCATTTGATTGCAGGTAGAGCTTCTGAAGTTGAGATTATCTCTTCATGCTTTTATAATAAACCTCGAACTTTTCAAGTAACACAAGCTTACTTAAAATAGTTCTATTCTTGCAAAATGTTAATGTACAAGTTATATAAGCCCCATGTCCAGATCATTATGGCTAGCACCCAACCTCTGGCATAGCATAAACCATAGGATTTTCTTCGTAAAATCTTGTTCATGCCTAAATGAGAATAACTGTGAAGAATCCACTACAGCTGTAGGTAAGTTGTTCCAGAGAGTAATTACCCGTGCAGTTTAAAAGCCATGCCTTTTTTCTTGTGTATACTTCATTAGTTTCAATTTCCAGTCACTGTGTCTTGTTGTGCCTTATCATCAATTTTTATTCCCTGTGTAGATATTTTCGAACTGTATTAAGCTTTTACATTTCATAATGGCACCAAGCAGAAATCTCTTTAAGTAGTTTTAGGTTGATTGCGTTGCAGATTAGACCATGCTGGGTCACAGCAATCCTGTGCTTGATCTAACATCTAGAAAATCTTCATATTAAAATGTCATTTTCTACTCTCTAATATACATATAAGCATACATGCATGTGTATTTATATATGTGTGTGTGAGTTTATACATATTTTCCATACATGCGCACACACTGAACAACCACTAAGTAGCAAAGAACATATAGTTTAGGCCTTTATAACTTGTTGGACCAAATATTTTTTGTTACAGCTTATTTTTTCTTAAAATACAAAATATTTTTTTAAACTCTGATTTTTAAAATAGTGTTTGCTAGTCGTACACACTAAAGCAGAATAGGTTTCTAATTTGTATTCAATTGGAAAGGGGTTTAATAAATGAGAAAAGCAGCTACTTTGTTTGAAAGGAGTTCTCTCTTCCTCTTTGGTAAAGTACAAGAAAATTCTGCTTAAATGAAGCATGCAATTTTAATCAAATGTACCCTAAAAAAGATGAGAAACAGCTGCTGCTTGTTAATTGGTGAGTGTCTTCACTAGTAATCTCATCATTTACTGACTGCTTTCACTGGAGCCTTAAATTCTGTAAATAAAGGTGTTATCGGCATGCAGTATGACTGCCTGAACACTTGCAGTTAACCAGCTCTGATAACGCGTGAAGGATTTATTTCAAAAGATAAATCTATGATCTTCACCCTCACAGATTTTATGTTTTTCCTCTAATAATCACGTTTGCTGTGAAAGGTCAGCTCCCCTGTAGGAAATCATGGGGAAGGCCCATTTAATCTGCCTACGTGAAAAACATAATTTCTTGTTAAAATTTAGTGCAAATAGTGAAGATTTTTCACTCTAGGGAGACAAAGGTTCATGTCTAGAACCACAGGTTCTTGTGGGTTGAAAGAGACTTCAGGAGGTCTTCTGGTCCAGCCCTCTGCTCAGGTCAGATCCAGCTGGGGCAACATTGCTCAGGGCCTGGCTCAGTTGGATTTTGAATCTTTCCAGGGATGTTTCATGTTTCTTTTTTTCCTTTTGTTTTTTTTCTTTAATAATAATAAAAAAAAGAACTTCTTTTCTTTTTTTCTTTAATTAAAAAAAAAGGAAAAAAAAAAACATGAAAAAAAGAGAAAAGAAAAAGGAAAAAGAGGCTGTGGGACTTTTCCAGAATTATGTATTTATCTGAAAAATATTTTGGGATTACATTGCTAACCAATGCATCAAGAACTGTGAAAACTCAAGCTTCAGATATAAGCTCTATTTTTCTCTAAATAAAATAATTTAAAATTTACTAGAAAGTAACAGGATTAGCTTAAGTTGGTTATGTTTGGTTTTTGGTGTTTTTTTGGTTTCTTTTTTTTAGAAGGTATTTTTAAGGCAGACTTGGAAGCCAAGTCACCAAGGAAGACAATTATCTGACATATTCTGTTCTGTTAATGATATCGCTTCTTATAACAACTTTGAATAATATATTGCGTGACCCATCTAATGCAAAATCATGGTGTGCTTTCTGTTACTAAACCGGAATATACAAAATAACAGGGCTTTGCTTTGTAAAACATGAAAACTGATCATTTGCCTGTAGTAGGTCAATACTATGCTACTAAAATGAATTTGCCCATTTTGTACTACAAATAATATGCAATTGTGCTCTTTCAAAATTCAATTATCAGTGTCTTCTGAGACGCTGTGTATCAGACTTAGCTTTTATATTTGCAAATTTTATCTAAAATGTAATCTATAATTATTTTGTCTCACACCACTGACAAATTTAATGAATGATTAGAGTATTTAAAATCACTATACAAGTAGTTGCCCTCTGCCAATATTTGTTTGGTAACATTTCTTTCCCTTTTTTCCTTTTAGCTTGTAAGACCTGGGAAGGTAGATGTTCCTGATAAATTGGACTTTCCTGCTCTGATGATTGCTTTGCAGAAAGGACATGACAGGTATTACTGCCTTCCTTTATCTCATCCAACAGGATTTGATTTATTTTTTGCTTTCTTTCCTGTGTTTGGATCAAATAATAGATCAAGGTACACTGGGGAAAAAATAGGTACTGTATAATTTTAGTCTAAAAATGTCGTTATTAAAGATTACGATCACGGTAATCTTTTTACTCCTGCATTCATTTTTAATGAAGAAAAATCCTTAAGTAATATTGCTTTTAAACATTCTAAAAAGCTATCAAGAATGTAATCCCTATGCAAATCTAGCATAAACATTTTTCAGTATCCATTTTAGTAAAAACATATCAAAGTTTTTTTTGAAGATTCTATGTTTTGTGAAAATATTCCTATATAAGGGAACATATGTACACCAGAAGAATGGAAGTGCAAAAAATATATAATGTGAATTTATTTATGGTGTATAGAGGCTGTATAAGATTGGTATTGCAACATGTATCTATACTTAAAGTGATTATAGTATATTAAAACATATGTTATATTTTGGCTTGTCATTATGTTTTCATAATCAGGCTATTTATAGTCTGATCACAGTTGCAAAATAATAATTTTTAACTTAGGATGTAGAATATTTTCCAGATTTTGTTACTACCATTTTTTTAGCCCACGGATGGGATTGTGCAAGTTCTCATCTGCTTCAGTGTAAGGAAGGCTCCTAGTTAAATATTTGGTGACTAGTTCGAGCTGGTTGAACTTGCATCCGAGTAGGTTAGAGTTTGCTTGCAGAGTGTCCTGAGGGAAAGAAAGTGGGATCAGGCCGCTGGGGGATAATAATATACAATCCCATAGCAATTTATAGTAAAAAAAAAAAATGTATGTCTGGAGCTTCAAGTCCATGCTATTGGAAAGGGGGAGTCTTTGTTAATCCACTTTTGTCTCAGTTTTGAGCACAGAACATTGTAGCTTGGAGGTGGTGTCCTCCAGAAGAAACCTAAAGAGGGAATCCTTGTGCTCTTTCCCATATATGCCAAATGCGTGTACATGCTTGGCTCTGGCCTGTTTTCCCCTCCTTCTCTAATTTATGTATTAACAGTTAGACCTGAAGGGATAGGAAGCAAACAACACTGATATCTTTATTTAAGAAAGAGCCTGTCCCAAGTTGCAGCTCCAGCAGACTTGGAGACAGGTGAATCTGCATTAAATTGAACTCCATTGTGCATTGCTCTTCATTTACGGAGCTTAAGGAATTTTCTGTAGACTGGATGGCTTCCAAATAATGTCATTTTGGTTTAGTGCTGTGTAGGTGGGTCCCTGTCTTGTCTGTAAAAGTACATGAGCTATTTACTTCAATGGCTTTAATTACAGCATCTCAGTGTAAAGATTTCTTTTGGGATTAGTTGTTTCTTGTTCTCTAAATCCATTAAAAAAAATAGTGTGCTGATTGCTGTATTGTTTGACACCAGTTCAACAGCAAAGGCTGGCAATCATAGGAGTGATGTTCCCGGGGAAGGGTGGTAAAATTGTTGTTAGCCTCCAAGGAAGCCTGTTCTTAAAGCCTGTCCTCAGGATTTTTATTAACTGTCTTGGCTTTTCCTTCCAAGGGCTCTGTTCCTACATGTTAGTTATTTCTTTAGCTGTAGCTTAAAACTTTGTGACTAAGTTCTAGGCTTTGGAAACTCTCTGAGTTTTTAAGTATTTAATTTCTTAAGTATTTAAGGTTTTGGACCTAAATGAGTGTGCAAGGGTACATTCAGTGAATACAATATGTTATAAAACAGGATAGCAACTCTTGCTAGCTAAAATGAAACTTTTAGGCTAATTACCCGAATTCTGAATCACATTTTTCCACTTATCCATCTTGTTTAAACAGGGTGCATGAGACATGACTGTAAAATAGTTGCTTGCCAGGCAGGTTTGATGCCTCTGTCTCTCGTCCACTGTCTTACTGACCTTTGAAGTGGGCTGACCCTTTAGAGGATTTCAGAAAGCTCTTAGGAGCTCACCAAACTTCAAAAATATAGTTACAATCCTATTCCTTGTCAGTACAGCATCAGCTATTTTCAACTTAGACACACATTATAGGGCTAGATTTTTGATAGATTTTTACTCTTCCTTATCAGACACTTAGATGGTAGTGAACACCCTTAACACTTGGAACAATGATAGTGATGTCCCATCTTCACAGCATTTCTTATTTTTTTTAATATTACAGTTTTGATGGTCACCTGGGTATTGTTACACATGTCAAATCTTAAGGCCAGAGAGAAATCTCTTGTTGGAAAGCCAGAGATCTGGGAGATTTCATGGCTTTGCATTGGGATGTGGATGGGAGGACGTGGTCATGTTATTGCAAGTGTGATTAATGATACTGTAAGGTCAGTGTTTTATCCGTATATTTCATTGAGAAGACGACATTTTCCTAGATCTAGAGAGGCTGGTCTTCCAGACCCATGCTAGTCTGGTGCTCTCCAGAGCATTGGCATGAGGACATTGTTATTCCTTTCCTTTTTAGCTGTATTTCATTTATGGGCATATAACAGTTCCTCAAGGTATGGGTAGTATGGAAAATTCTCTTACTAGTAGGAGCTATAGGATATGATAGCAAATCTCCCTGTCCTAAAATGGAAGTTCTTGTAGCTTTAGTAAAAATACAGCATTTTACTTTATTTGCAGGCTCCCATAAAGCTGGACATAGCCAGGATTGCCTGCTTTTTGCCTCACACCACAGGGGGACACAACTGTGCATTAGCAAGCAAAATGGGAGATATTTAGTGATGGCTCAGTAAATATTAGCAAGTGGGTGATATTATTTAATCAACGTGGTTGCAGTTGATAAGGTGCTCAGAAGCTCTGATTTAAGAGTGCTGGCAGACGAAATGAAAAGTTGAAGATTCAGAGATAAGGAGTGATGGATATAGTGTTATCCTAATTGAGAATAGGAGAGAATGTAAAGCACCGAGAAATTAAATTGATGACCTGTAAAACAAGTCTAGATTGTGGAAAAAATCAGATTGATTGAGGCTCCTTCGGGAGTGCAGACAGAGCAAGGGGCAGGAAACAAAGAGGAGATAAGCTTAAACTTATCAAATGGTTGTGTTAAGTTAGTCAGGATGATATGGATTTAATAAATGTTACTAAAAACTTGCAGACTGTGTTATGGAGTTTATTCCTTTTGTAAAATAGAGATTTTTTCATTAATTACCAGATATTACTGCATTGTTTTGGAGTTTATCAGGATTCCTGTCTTCACAGTTTTAATGTTGATGGATATTTATTCTAACAGTAAGTTTAATGACTAAGGCACCTAAAACTATGCTTTTTCCGTTAATGAATGTATAGTGCTGTACAGTATAATATGCTTTTCATTCTTGTGCTCTGATACTTCTAGATGAACAGAAAGAGAAAGTTTCTTCCCAGGAATGGTGTTTCTTTAAGGTGCATGGCCAATGGATATATTCTGCTGTGAGGGAATATTTTGAGGGTTAGATTCTGGAAAAATTTCCATTTAGTAGTAGCCACTATAAAGCTTTTAACTTGTCTTTTTTTCATGCTTTGTTTCCAGAGGATAAAAGGCAGGTAATATTTTGTTGTTGTTGTTCCTCAAAAGGACCAGATTTTGGAGCGATGAGTGGCCAGCAGTTATCATTGGCTGAAGTGGTGAGAGAAGAACTGATTAAGGTTAAGTTGAAGTTCCCTTAGCAGTCAGGTCTCTTGCTGGAAAAAGTATTTTGGATTTAGGGATTTTTTTTTAACTTTGGAAACTTGAGGACATTGTGGGTGGGGGAGATAAACGCCCAGTACTGCAAATTTCAGTGCAGTTTGACAGTGTGAAGGAACAACATCCCAAGCCCTGTTAATAGTCCAGTAAAGTCAAGGCTGTCAGGGAAGATAAATCTGAAATGTGAGCTTCTTGAAAGCCTAATTCACCTACTCACATCACTCTGTTTAATTATCTTTCCTGTTATTCATGCTGGTGTTTGTGGAGTTTCCTAGGATACATTTCAGTTGCAAATTTCCTGACAGATGTTAAAAACAAAGAGAAAGGGGAAAAAAAGACTCCATAAAGGTACTTGTATAGAATATTCCTCTGTAACTACCTTTAGGTTTGGGATTTGCCAGACTGGCTGAGAAAAATGGTCTGGCAAGAGACCTGTGTTGTGGTGAAAACTGGAGGATTTACATAAAATTGGCTAAATCTGCCAGATAGCAGAGCTCAAAGGGGATACGTTGAAAAGGAGGAAGGAATGACAGAGAAAGACCCAAACATGATAAAGAGGGAAGAAGTGAGGAAAGGATCCTGGATGTGGAACCCACAGCACGTGGGTCGGGCCGTGAGTTTCAGACTACGAGTCGTCGTTAGAGCTTTAGCTCTAGATTAGTGTAAAACACACCCTGGTCTGCTGCTTATCATAGACTACGGCTTTTGTTTCAACCTCTGCTCCACCGAGGGCTCTGGGAGGAGTCTCCAGGACTGCAGCCCAACACGGAGCTTTGGTGATTGTGGTTCCAGGTGCCACAGGAACCAGGGGATGGATCTTGCTTCTCATATCTGCAGTTCTGCAAAGCATTGATCATCGCGGTGCTCTTTCGGCCAAGCTCAGAGATGTGGAGTTCACTATACAGCCATGTAATCGATGGTGATATTTGATATTCAATTTAGAAACAATATCATCTCTTAATCTGACTTTGGGTCACATCAACAATGCAAACAGATTTATCTCCAGATTTAATAAATATTTGTCTTTTGCAACATGTAAAAATTAAAGCATTTGGGTGGACACCACTGAGGAGAATTTCTGCAGTGAAAAATATCAGGTTGCAAAAGTAAACAAAGTTTCCTCCTCCTTTTATTTTTTAACTGTTAAATTGAATATGCTGTTGTTTTTATCTGGAAATAGCTAGAAGTTTTCACAGGCAAGCATGAATAATTTCTATATCTGATTTCCCAATTTATTTTTTAAACATATTTCCATCTATATTTCTGATTTTTGTTTGTTTAGAACTTGGTTACTGTATTAGAAGACAAGCAGAAAAAGCTGGGGGAAAATCTGCTATTTCCCTACCTTGCAACTCAGAGATGGGTAATGATAAAAGTCAGGGAAGGTCTTTTGCTTTTAAGCATATCTATAGTTTTAGAATAGCTTTGTCCTTACATTGAAACCAAAACCCTTTTGTATCCATTGTTAGATGTAAAGGAAAATATTCACATACACAAACATTCCTTGTTGACATTCCCTTGGGAATACTGCAAGTCATCTGTAAATGAAATGCTGGATTTTTCTTTTCTTCTTTAATGCTCTCCTTTCTTCTTTAAAACCTTTCTGTCTTCATGACTGTCCCTCTAGTAAACAAAATTAGCAATTCTTACTGAAACTTGTTAATATTCATCTTTAAATTTTCCAAGGAGAGGCTGCCTAGCCTCAAATCATGAGCACAGTGCTGTGCAGCACATTGAGCTGGGATTAAAGAATACATTTAAGGTGTTCAGCTAGCTAACATGCTATCAGGAAAGCTTGGTAGGAAACTATAAAGTTGATCTATCTTTGTAAATATAAATATATACTTGATCTTTTGGATTTCAGTTATTTGCAGCCTTAATGGAAAAATAATTGGGTATTAGCCTGGAACTTTCAGACAAATCTTCGCTATCGTCCTGTCTGGCAGGGACATTGGCTGGGAGGTACACAGAAGTTGTCACTGTCAAATTCAAACCAACAAAGTTATTCTTCTTTTTAAAGATGTAAAATCATTATTTTAACCTTTGGCTTAGCCTGGCATTAAATAGTAGCTGGATTTACTTACCACATACAATAATGGAGTATTTGTATCCTGCGTACTGTACTCTGAAATGGACAGTTGAACTAAGCTTGAAGGGAGGAAGGTTATTTTTAAATCAACACTGCTTTAGTAGCAGACCATATCTGTTGCATAGTAAGTAAAAAGACTGATTTACTGTTAAAGATAAATGACATTCATTGCTAGCATTTTCTACAGTGAAACGCTCTGCAGGTTAGGGATTCCTCTGCAAATACCTGAGATCCCAGAAGCTGCAGGGCAGGGAGCTGGGAGCTTCCTGAAATCGCAGGCATGCTCACACACCACTGAAATGCAGAGCGTGCAAGGCCATTTATCTGCATAGACTTAAACACCTGCAAAGTCACCTGTCCAGCCTCCCTGCCCAAAGCCAGTTCTGGCCCATGGTAAACAGGTAAGCGACTTGTGCAGGATTAAATTTCTGCTCCGTAATCAGCTGGACAAGGACTGCTCTATTAGACATGCTGCTTAATGGCAGTTGCTTGTTATTCCGTCTGTCTGCTATGTGCTCTCGCTCTGCCTGTGTTTTCAGTCTGCAGAACAGCCAATGCATCTATTTGCTTCTTGTTTTTTAATGGTATATTATGTATATTATTCCTGGCTTAACTTTTTTTAATAATTACTTAGCAAATTGTTTCCTTTTTTAACTGAAAAAAAATTTCAAACATGTTCTGGGAATATCTGCATCCATAAACTGCAGTGACATAATAATGAATCCTATATACCAGAGAGAAAAAAAGGTGTTTGTTCCATATTATCCTTTTATTTCATATGTGTATTTAGAGCAATGGAAAAATACCCTTATCTGGTATATTTTATGGTATATTTTATGTTGAGGAAATGCTTGCATTTTATTAACAATGTGGATAATTACATAGACAAAACCAAATATACCACATTTATTGAGAGTACTTAACAATAAGCAAGTTTTTCAGCATTGAATTTCGAGATTGTCTTCGCTTGAAGCACCTTTGAAAGTAAGATTCTACATGAAATTCATACATAAGTAAAAACCTGTTACATTGATAAAAGCCTATTGCATAGACTGAAAAGTTTAGCAAGGTGAAGCATTAAGCATTATAAAGGAATGGTTCAAAAAAAAAAGTGTTGGTTGGCTTTACTCTAGTCTGTGCTCATGCTGAGCCAAGCAGGCAGTACACATTAAGCAGTGAAAATTATCACAACTACATGATTTTTTTAACCACAGCACTTTTTCAAAGGAAAATGTTTTGTATTTTTAGACATCCTGCTTTAACACATTTCTAAAATACTTCTGTACCTTCTCTTAGTTTGACTGTTCACAGTCATAAGTCTGTTCTAAATGTTTTATTTAAAAATATTCAAATTTTATCTTACGCTGATGCTTCTCTTGTGCACAGGAGACTTTAGGTAGGAAAGATGTGTACTCGAAGGAATTGAATTCAGCGATATAAAAGTAGGACATGTAGTAAAGAGATAAAAATTCATTTTTCTTTTTGTCCAGACAGATCTACACACTGCTTTCCTCTCAAAGGCCCATGAGCAGCCAGTGTGCAGATGAGGAAACCCAGAGCCAGAACACCACTTTATTTGCAAAAGGAAAGAGCAAGGGAGGGGAATTGCAGGGAAATGTTTATCTTTGACATCATGATGCTGTTGGGGATCCTACCTCTGAATTAACTGAATTCCGAGCTTTAAAACGCTTGTCTCAGTATGCTGTGAATTTTAATGCTTCTCTCTCATTTAACATTATATACATATAACATATATACTAGTGTGTGAGAGCAGCTTTAACTTCTGGCAACATGTAGTGTAGTTATCTGGAACGATGGTCTGTGTGTGGAATGAGCTTTAGCATTACTGAGTTTATAAAATTATGTTGCAGAGTTAATTTGTTTACTGCTACGTTGCAATTTGTAGTTAAAGTACTAGAATTAGAAGTTAGTAAAAGAAAACGTTACTCAAATGATCAGAAAAAAGATTTGAACTGAACTAAGAAATAATTATATATGTGTTCAGTATTTCAAGCCTTTGAAAAGGGAAATCATGGACTTAAAAGATGCTCTCTGGTAAGTGACAGCAGTTAAAAAAAAAAAAAGTATAGGGAAATTAAAATTGAGAGATTTGATGGGAGATGCTATTTGTGTTTTATTTTGCATACTGATTCATTTCTCATTATGATTTGTAATTGTGGTTCTATTTGCATAATAGCATTTTTGTGGCCTGCTTTGTGCCCTCTCCTCGCCTCTGGAAGGGGCGCTTGCCTAGCTGCGGAGCCGCAGTATTGGGCGGGAGGCTGCAGCAGGAGCAGGGACGAGGCGGCCAGGAGGAGCAGCCGTCGGCACCCCGGGCGCTGGGCTCCCCGTCGGCACCCCGGGCGCTGGGCTCCCCGTCGGCACCCCGGGCGCTGGGCTCCCCGTCGGCACCCCGGGCGCTGGGCTCATCGGGAAATCTCGCTCCTGAAGAGAAATTCAACTCCGCAGAAGATTATTTGAAGGGATGAAGCATCTTCTCTGTTCAAGGTAGTTTAAAAGTTAAAGTATAGGGCATAGAGGTAGATGCACTTGTTAGGGCAGCCCTTACAGCCTCTGCTGAAGGCACTTTCTGGAAAGCAGCTAGGCCAGGTAGGTACAATAACGCCTACAACGGAGCAGCAAACATTGAAATTTCACATCCTGATCTCTTCCGTGGTAATTTGCTCAGAATGTCTTTAACATTGTAAAACGATTCATGTAGTTTTCACAATGGATTTTGCATGAAATCTACATGTCTAATCACTAACTTTGCATATATATTAAAAAAACAAAACAAACAAACAAACCCTCACACTACCATCTATTACTCTCATCCTCCTGAGGGGGGAAAAAAGAAAAAATGAACTGAACATGAACTGTGTGGTTTTTTTTTCACAGATCTTTTCTGCCTGTAGAATTTTGTATGAGTATGTATAAATGAATTAGCATAACTGCTAATTGCAAGGATGCCAGATTATGTGACTGTTCCATACATCATACCTCCTCCTCAGTTTTGCTTTAAAAATAAAATTCAGTGTGCAGTGTGTCAGTAACCACCATCTGTTCATTTCAAGTAATAGCAGTCATTTCTCAGCGTGTTTGCAGTTTGTATTTTGTTTCAGGTAGAGAATTCGGATTTTTTTTCCCCCAAAAGGTATAAAAATAACATATCAGCTCCATGAGATAATATATACATGTCATCTCACACTTGAAATGATAAAACTACCTTCCAAGTCATTGCATACATATGCTGCAGCTGTTTAACTTAGAAAAGCGTTAATAGTTAATAAATCTGACATATACTTTCCTGCTTATTGAGCAGTTTTTCATAGTTCACAGCTTGCTTAAATGTATTTTTTAGCTATTTCTCTGGGAAGAGAGATGACTTAAGACAGCAAAAGGGTATTTTGTTAATGCCGTGTTGCCTCGGGGCTCACGTGGGCCACCTGGAGAAGCCACCAGCCCTCGCTCCTCTTGCCGAGACCATACAGGTGGGTTCATCCACAAATGCCACTTTTGCTGGGACTGGGGACACTTAGTGAAAGAATGGTAGAGATCAAGCTGAAAAATTATTTGTGTTCCTTTTGTTTCTGCTTTTGGAGGAAGGTTGTGGAGAACAGGTCTGTAGTGCAACAGGGTATTAACAACATCAGAACTTGCCAGCTTCTGTGTGCTCAGTTTCCAGACTAGATGGTCTGTGCCCTGTTCTGGATTAAATATTGGTTAGAAGCTCCTTGTAAATATAGGAATATGTTTCAGTGCCGGATTTGGCTACTTCTATATCATAAAACATACATCTCAATAAAAGTCACACCCCAGTTTTCTACTTCTTACCTTAATAGACTTGTGGTAGGCCTTGCTCAGGGAATTTAATGGCACTAGCTTTAGATGCATCTAATTTCACATTCTTTTTCTAACAATTTCATGTAAGAATCTCTTACATCTACTTTCAGAAATAGGTGGCTGCAGTGTTAAGTATCTGTGATTCTGAAAGGGGCCTCTTCAAACAAAAGAAATGAGATCACGTTTTCTGCTGTTTATTGAGACGGCTCCCCCCCTTTTACATGTAAGTTAACTGTTGACAGAAGTTAAAAACTTTTAAATGCAAATATCTCACAGACTTATAAAGCATCATACAAATGTTCTCATAGCACCTGGAAAAGCTTGGATTCAACCGCATTGCCAGGCCAAGGATGAATCAACATCCTCCTATTGTAATAACTATCCACACAGTACAAAACATGCTGGTGTTTCTATTATGGTTGCTTTGTGAAGCAAATTTTAATTTTATTTTGCTATTAAGCAACAATCTAAAGTATGGTTTGTTTTGGTTTATTTACGTTATCCATAAAAACATGACTGCTCTATTCCGAGGAAAACTACATACAATTATACTTACTGAAAAGAGATCCAAGTTTCTATCAATGCTTTTATTTTTGCTTAAAGAAAAAACTACAAACAACTAGGAAACTCACCTATGTAAGGCAATAGTTCCCAATCCTTCTATTTTAAATGATATTTGAAAATTGTTTTTATTACAGCATATATGAAATAACTTTATTCAGCAGTGCTACAGAGGACTAGAAGAGATGAGATGTAATTAGATATAGTAAAGAGTGATGGAGATTTTTCTTCCCCATCTTAAAATATCCATCTATTAAAGTAGGTATTTTGTTATGAAAATGTAAAAAACCCAGAACAATATTTGAGCAGTTAAATACAAAACAGTAGTAACTATGCAAAATACAGTTGACAAGCAGAGCGACGAGGCAAAAGAAATAAGAGTTGCTTTTTAAGGTGTAATTCTCTGTAATGCTTAGCTATACATGTCGTATAGCTGTACAACATAGCGAGATGGTACAACCTTACACAATATATATAGACTGCTTGTAATTACCAATGCATCCAAAATGTAATGGCACTTGCAGGCCCCATATCTGCATTAATACGTATTAACCATAGTGTGTCTGAGGAAAATGAGGTTACAGAACAATTTTCATGATATACAGTACTTCTTCAGTAAGAGAACTCGTCAAAAACGAAGAATAAAAAATGAATCTTTCAGTACACATTTCGTGACAGTTTCAAACAGTAACATGAAAATGGAAACTACAGTACGACTGCTGGTGCCACGGGGTACTCTGGTTAATACAGGTGCAGATATTGGGCATTTCACTATGTTCCCAAAATACGTTTTACCTGATGTACTTATTCAAAAGTTTTCTATAAACTACTGAGATGGTCTGTAGACATTTGGTTTATCCATGAGTATCAGTACTTCATAAAGAATAGGTCAAAACTAAACACTCTACGTAGGACCAATAGAGCATAATTATTCAAGTTCACTAAAATATTACAAAAAAAAAAAAAAAAGGCGGCTTCCTTCATAGGAAAGCTCAGCTCTGGTAAAAATATCTACTACAGTGCACTGCACTGTAATAAATATTCAACATAAATTAATAATTTACA